CATCTGACCACCCCTCGCGGTCTCCCCTCCCTCCTGCAGGACTATGCGACGGCCCACGAGGACTTCGAGCAGTCCTTGGAGCTGAACAGGAACCAGCCCACAGCCATGCTGTACAAAGGCCTGACCTTCTTCCACAGAGGGCTTCTCAAGGTGACGGTGCTCTGTAGCGCGGGTGCACTGCACTTTGCAGGGACAGGGGCTTCAGGGGAATTCAGTATGACACATGTTAAGAAGGCATCTCGGGTGTCTGATTGGTCTCTCCTAGAAAATCGTCTGATATTTATTGAGCTCCTACTGTGTGCCAGTGTGTCAGTCACCTTTGCATTGCTGTGACCCAAATACCCAGTCAAAACACCCGAGAGAAGGAAGTTTATTTGGGCTTAGGGTTTAGAGTTTCAGTCCTTGGTCAGCCAGCTCCATTGCCTGGGGCCCCAGCTGACTCAGAACATTGTGGTAGCGGAGAGCTGAGCTCCTAGCAGCCAGAAAGCAGAGAGAAGGGAAGGGCTGGGAGGAGATAAACCTCTAGGGCGTGCCCCCGTGACCTCCTTGCTCCAGAGAGGCCCTGCTCACAGTCATCCCTTCCGCCACTGGCGGGTTAATTCATGGATGGGGCCAGTCCTCCTGGTCTAATCACCCCTCAAAGGCCCCACCTCTAGCATGGGAGACTGGGGCACATTCTAGTTCCAAACTGTAGCAGCGAGGTCCTTGGAGGTGCAGAAAGGCAGACGATACAAGGTGATGAGGGAGAAGTAGGACTTGCACTCTCGGAGTGCGTCGCAGAGCTGGGGGGAGACAGGGAGAAAGCCCTGGGGGCTGTGAGGGGCACAGAGCAGGCACAGGCAGGTGGGCGTCAGTGGAGGCCAGGCCTCAGCCTGGGCTCTGTGCTGAGCATTCTGACTGAAGCTTGTGAACCCAGAGGAGCTATGAGTTGAAGATTTGGGGAAAATCTATAATTGGAACCAAATCTGTGATTTAGGAAGTAGATTTAGGATTGTGGCGGCCACAGTGAGGAGGGACAGAGACCGGCTAGTGGGTGTTGGTGGTGTCCCCTGTGCCTGAGGAGGCCTTGAGGAGCTGCTGAGGTGCTCTGGGAGCAGGAGGAAGGTGCTGCTGGGCTGGTGTGGCTCAAGGACCACAGGGCACTGGGGGGAGGCGGAGGGCGGCAGGAAGGCTCTTGGTCTGGGGTCTGTGTTGCGACTTGGCAGCAGCACAGGGCAGGCGTGTGCTGTGGCAAACAGAACATGCCTTTTGTCACTGAAAGCAGTTCTGTTGACTTGAGAGTCCGACACACATGGCCCTCTGTATCTGTGGGTCCCACATCTGTACTTGGAGGAAGCATCGTGTGGCACTGAGCAACGTGGACCTCCTGCCGTCATCTCCTGGAGAGCACAGCAGAGCCCTGTCCCGCAACCTGTGGAGGAGGCATCCAGGAAGAGGGGAAGCCCTGGAGAAGACCTGAAGTGCACAGAGGGCGTGGGCTGCATGCACCTGAGCTCCTGCAGGCCTCGGCAGACCTCTGTACCTGCCACACCAAGGGGCAGTTGTGCATGTGGTGGGGATGGGCAGAGTCCCCTGTGCAGAGCCATGTGTTGGTGTCAGTGTTGTGGACAGGGCCCACCATGCGGCAGGTTCTCAAAAAGGATCGGATGAATGGATTTCAAGTACAGCATTGAATCTGGCCTTGGAAAGTCTTGCTCTGAAGCTTTTAGCTGTGCTGCAGGCCATGCTCCTGAACCCTTCTACCAGCCTATCCTTCCACATCTAAAGTGCAGGGACAGTCCTGTTGTCCGCCCTTGAAGTGACTGAGGACTGAGTACAGTACTGTGTGTGAAAAATGCTCTCTGAACTCTAAATGGGAATCGGGTGTCGTTATGAATGTTTTCCCTGTGGAAGTCGAGGTTGTATAGATTCTGGAAAAATAACCTCCATCCCACAAAAACAAAACCAAGAAGGATGTTGCACATTCTGTGTCTCGCACTCACATGCCCTGGCCAGTGAGTGGAGGGTGGTTCCAGTAGAGTCGCGTCCCTCAGACAGACTGGCTTGGAGAGTTGTTGGTCAGGGTGCACTCAGGCAGCTGCCTGGAGACTCTAACCTTCGTTCTGAATCTGCCCTGTGCTCCTGCAGTTCTCACACAGCCACCTTAGATGAACAGGTCCAGACCCACAGTACTGTGCTCAGTTGAACCCTCGAGTGGCTCGTGGAGGAGGAGAAAGCTTAAAACGTAGAGAAGCCCATCCTGTTAAAGATCAGAGTGCTTTCACAGTGAACAGAGGCAGACGGCTGACTTCCCTTCACCTTGGCACTATGCAGCTGGCTTCAGGCTGTCGGGAAGTGACATTTTTAGAGAAGTACTGTAACGGACACACTACTACAGATTGGACAAGGGCTGTGATTAGCTTATTCTGGATCAGCATGATGAGGACCCAGATACGGGGTTTTCATGTCCTGAGCATCAGAAGCCCCTCTGTGAACCAGTCCTGCCGAGGTTTTTGGTCTGTGCTCCTAGCACAAAGTCCCCAAGAGTCATAGTGGGACACTTTCTGCATTCTTGTAGACCTGCTGGGAGGTTGGCCTCACAGGAGTCCCAGCAGTATAGGAGGCATGGAAGGAGCCGGGCTGTCCCCGTTACCTAGGGGGAACCTGAGTCAGTGGTGAAACTGCAGAGTTAATGCAGGAATTGGGTCCAGATGCTTCTGTTTCTCTTGTTAACCAAAGTGATGAAAGGACCAGTGAGTTTGAGCTTTTTTTATATCCTCAAAATGGTCTGTGTAGGCCAATGACAATTTAGAAATTAATCAGGTGGGTGACTATGGGACAGTAGCTATTAGGCAATGTCATTTTACAGATTTCACAACCGCCAACTTAGCTGCTCTCAGGCATTTTGGATGTTCCTAGGGAAACTAGAGCAGAGTCTTTCTGTTGAAGTCTGTCCGATGCTATTCACTCCACTGTTTTTACCAACCTTTACTTTGAGCTGCCTGAGTGTATTCTTGGTATCAGTGAGCAACCACAGAGGGTTGGTGGCCGTCAGCCTTTGGTATTGACTCTCAGTGGTCATTACCAATGAGTTTGAGCTGTTTTTATATCCTAAAAATAGTCTGAGTAGGCCAATGACAATTTAGAAATTAATCAGGTGGGTGACTGTGGGACAATAGTATGCCAAACAGATGAATTCAGGGCCAGTTCATGTATGTAAAGACCAACTCGTTTGAACGCAGTTCTCTGTTCCTGGTGGCTTACCATCCTGACTCTGCTGTGTCCCCTCTCTGGCAGAGTGAGGTAGCCAGCTGTGCAGTGATTAGACAGGAGCCCCGAAACCCAAGGCTCTTAGGAGCTGGAAAGACTCAGACTTGGAAGAACTGTGGCGTCCACGCATGCTGTAAGTGGAGCGGGCGGCAGGTGCCTCCTGGGCACCGCACCAGGTGTCCACACGCACTCGGACTGGACACGCCCGGCTGTCCTTCCTCCTGCACTCCTCGCGTCCGCCCAGCTCTTCAGCTTCAGGCTCCCTGCCCTCCTCTCCCTCGCCCCGTCCCCCTAGCCTCCAGACCCTGTCCCAGTGTCTGTCTTCAAACACGTCCCCTGGACCTGACCCTTCTCTCCTGTCCTCGAGCACTGTGTGAGCTTTCATTATCTCTTGCCTGGACTGCCATGGTAACCTTGCTGGGCTGCTCTGTCTGCTGCCCTCCTGTTCTGGCAGGCAGCCTTCTCCCTGGGGTGGCATCTACTGGGGCTGCACCTGCCGAGGCGCCTGGTCCTTGCGGGCAGCGTTGCCCCGCTTGCTGCCGCAGTGGGCCTTTGCCCCCTCGCCCTCCAAATGCTCTGCTCGCCCCACACACCTACCGGCAGAATACTCCTGTCTCCAAGTCCCACTGCACTCCCACTTCCTCCCAAGCCTCTCCTGGTGACCCCAGGTGCAGTTGGCCGTTCCCTTCTCCGTATTCCCAGAGACTTACCCGTCTCCATGTGGCTGCTGATTTTTACGTCTAATAACCCAGCTAGCAGTTGGCTTTCTAACTAGACTGCATTCTTTAAGGACAGAGATAATGACTTGCTCATCTTTGTGCCCCCCACCTCAGCTCTTTCTGGCACATAGTAGGCGCTCAATACATGCTTGTTGGTGAAAGTACAGTTGTAAAGATCTTAAAAATCAAGGTTCTGCCATGGCAGGAAGCCAAATTAAGAGTAGCCTCTTGCCCTCCATCCCACCAGATACAGTCAGATGTAGGGCAGATAGCTCTCTGAGAAGAGTTGAGACTGTGCTGCTTTTGCTAAGCAGTTTGCAGATGTTTGCAGAGTGCCTACCATGTGCAAGGTGTCTTCAGGAGTACTCTCCCATCAGTGGCCTGTCTACAGGGAAGCCCTTTTCCTTAAAGCTACCACAGAGCAACTTTGTGGCAGTTAACTGTAGTAAGATGCTCTTCCCGGGGACAATGTGACGTGTCTTTTTGTTACAGTAATAATGAAGTTGTGGTGACAAGTTCAGGACCAGACCTAGGGGGTCACCCTTAAGCAGAACGGAACACCATTCTGCAGGCTCTCAGGGAAGAGGAGGGTTCTGGGAGCCCTCGTCTGGGTGCTTCCTTTCCTGTTTGGCCAGGGAAATCCCCAGATGGCACTCCTGGGAGCCTTTTGTCTTTCTTTACACACATTTTTGTCTCTTATTGATGAGATTTTAAACGCTGCTAGTGTGATCATTTCAAATGCTCTCACGCAGCTTCCAGGTTACTTTTGGTCTGTTAGGCCTTTATTAATGAAGGAAATGATATTCAGATGAAGGTGCATTCTAGTGCATTTGTTACCCCTGAAATCAAACCCTCAGAGTCTGTTGCATTTCCTCTCTCAAGTCCACCTTTTTAAAAGAGACTCTTGTCAGGGACCATGCGTAATATCTGTTTAAATCCTTTAGTGATTTATATGAAACTTGGTTTTAAGAGCTATGCAAATGAAATAATTTTCCACATACTTTTTCCAGGAAGCCATTGAGTCCTTCAAAGAAGCTCTGAAGCAGAAAGTTGATTTTATTGATGCATATAAAAGCCTGGGGCAGGCCTACAGGTAAGTCATGGTCATGGGGCACGGGGAGATTGAGGAAGAGGCCTGGAGCAGGATGTTATAGAAGATACGTTTCTTACCCAAGAGAGGGTCATTCTGCCTTGGGTGGGCATTTGTGTGCTGGTGGGTAGTCCCCAGGACCTAGGCAGCAGGTGGGTGGTCCCTGAGACCTAGGCAACTGTGTGTCACATCAGCATCTTGAGCACCCTGGGTATAACCTGTTGGCCAGGAAGTCCTTAGTCCTTCGAAGTCATCATTTTGAACCTGGCATTTTGAAGCTCTGGGTTGTAGATGTTGCTGTCACTTTCAGATGGTAATATGGTCAATTTCCACATCACGTGATCTGCTTGAAGGTGAAGGGATGAGAACATCTTGGTTATAATGTGCCTCTGCCGGGCGAGAGCACTAGTGACTGGAACCTGGCACCTGGCTCCAAGCCTGGAGCTCCCTGGTAGAGCCTCTGACTACACTCTGATCCCAAGAGGAGGCGGGTGGCATGACAGTGGGGCTCATGGCTTAGACCCTGAGAGGCTATATCCTGGCCCCCTCCACAGGTATGGACCCTGACTACCCTGAGCTCCAGGGTCTCCCTGTCAGGTCCCCCACTCAGGTGGGTCAGACTGAAGAGCTTATTTACTGAATGTGGTAGTTTGAGACACTGTCTTACACTGACTTGGAGAAAGTGCATTTGGATTTGTTTGGAGTTTAAGGGATCATATGTATCCCTCCTGTCCCACAGAATCGTTGGGAGTAGAAATTGAAAACAGACTGGAAATCACCTTGTAAAGTGCTCTATGAATGTAAGCAGATATTTTATAACAAATACTTGTTATTTATAGAAAACTGATGTATAGAGTATCTGGAAACTATTCCTATTCTTTGAAAATTGTTAGATTAGTAAGAATTATTTCATTCTGGAATGGTTAAAATTCTATAAAGTATACTTTCATCTCAAAATTTCAAATTTAGGGCTGGGGATAGAGCTCAGTTGGTAGAGTGCTTGCTTTAAATGCGCAAGGCCCTGGGTTCAATCCCCAGCACCACCAAAAAAAAAAAAAAATCAAATTACATAATGATTTCCTAGATTAAGTGGAGTAATATCAGTGGACCAAGATAATAGTAATAATGATGAGAATAAAACAAATCTTAAGTCTGTGAATTTGATTCAGAACAACAAACCTATATATGATTATAATCTGCATACTTTTTTCCAAAGGGAAAAGTATGTTTTAGTATTTACTAAAATTCACTTTTTTAGGGGTGAGAGCTCATTTTGAATTGGGCAGAGGGTTTTGAGTAGTGTGTCCTTGTGGAAATCAGTACGTTAAACGTCCCAGAGTTCGGGAGCTGTGTGGTTGTCCTCCTGTGGCCTGGCTAGCCTCACAGGCGGGTGGAGCGCACTGGGTCAGAGGCTCTGCCCAGGTTCAGTGGCGAGGTGGCGTCTACCCACGCCCGCTCCACAATCTGCATGTTCTTTGTGCTGTCTACACTGTGTTCATCCTGGTGTTAAATATCTAGAGAACTGGGCAATTTTGAAGCGGCCACTGAGAGCTTTCAGAAGGCTCTACTGCTCAACCAGAATCACGTGCAGACCCTCCAGCTGCGGGGCATGATGCTCTACCACCACGGCAGCTTGCAGGAAGCCCTGAAGAACTTCAAGGTGGGCCCGCACAGCAGGAGGCACTGGAGTGGGTGCTGGGTCTTTCTTTGGAGAGCTGAGTACATGACTAGGGAAGGGAGCCAAGGACAGTATGCAGTCCATGGAAGGGAAGGGGACATTCCTTGTCTTGCCCTGTAGTTTACAGAGTAGAGGTGTGTCTGAGACCCCAGATTGAAGAATGAGGAACTGCAGTTTCTTAAGCTGCGTGGGTGCTGACATGGCATTCTGTGTTTCCTCGCCCAGAGGTGTCTGCAGCTGGAGCCATATAATGAAGTGTGCCAGTACATGAAGGGGCTCAGCCACGTGGCCATGGGACAGTTTTATGAAGGGATCAAAGCACAAACCAAAGTCATGCTGAACGATCCTCTTCCAGGCCAGAAGGCTAGCCCGGAGTACCTCAAAGTGAAGTACCTCCGTGGTAAGTCAGGAAGTGCTCGGACCTTCAGAATCAGTCTCTGAGAGGCTGGGTCTCTTGCCCCCAGCCCCTCTGGCCAGCTCATGCTTTCCTACCGTTCCTGCAGTATTTATTCCTGAAGTTCAAATACATTTTACCTGAGTGAGAAACACATCATCACATGTGACGGTCTTTGGGATGCTCCCGCCTGGCCACAGCTCATCTGGGACACAGAGGGAAGGAGAGAGGCCTCTGCATGCCTGCTAGGAGTGTGGGGGTGCCACCTCCACCTGCCTCCTTCTTCCTGGAATCCTGTGTATGAGGAAGTGAATCTTAGTTACCTTCTGTTAGTCTCACCTTCTCCACAGCACGTAGAGGTGTTTCTTGCCTGGATGAGGCCTGTCTTGTTTTGTTATTGTTAGCCCTCTGTACCATCACTGCCCAACAGAAAAAAAACATTGCTCCCTATGTATGTAATTTAAAATTTGTGAGAGCCATATTAAAAATTAAAACAAGCAGGTGGAATTAATTTTAATAATATATTTTATTTAATTTGATATACCCAAAGTATTAGTTCAGCATATAATTAACATAAAACAGTATTGATTAAGTAATTTACATTATTTTTGCACTAAGTGAAATCTGGTGTATATTTTATAATTTTATTATATCTCAGTTTGAGTGGTAAATTTTTATTGGATATTCTCTCTTTTTTTTTTTCCCCCTGTGACAGTAGGGATTGAACCCAGGGCCTCACTCATGCCAGGCAAGCACTCTAGCACTGAGCTACAACCCAAGCCCTTTTAAAAAATGTTATTTTGGTATAGGGTCTTTTTTGCAGGGGATGGGAAGTACCAGGGATTGAACTCAGGGGCACTCAACCACTGAGCCTCATCCCCAGACCTGTTTTGTATTATTTCATTTAGAGACAGGGTCTCACTGAGCTGCTTAGCACCTCACCATTGCTGAGGCTGGCTTTGAACTCGCGATCCTCCTGCCTCAGCCTCCTAGGCTGCTGGGATTACAGGTGTGGCCACCTTGCCCGGCTTCTACAGGGTCTTGATGAGTAGCCCAGGCTTGCCTGAAACCTGGAGTCTCCTTCTTAGTAGCTGGGATGACAAGTATGCACTGCTGTGCCTACCTTTCACTGCAGAGTCCTCACCTGGATTTAGATCTCATAAAATTTACAGATGAAAAGTTAGATTCGCATATGCAGATTATTTCAAATTTCCAAGGTTTTCTAATAATTGAATCAAGCATCAGTTGTTGTTGTAGGTGGACACGATACCTTTATTTATTTATCTTGATGTGGTGCTGAGGATCCAACCCAGGGCCTCGCACGTGCTAGGTGAGTGTCCACCACTGAGTCCCAGCCCCAGCCCAAGCAACAGTTTTAAATTCAAATCAAATAAAAATACACTCCTGTCCCCTCAGGCTCATCCTACGTGTTCCTGGCAGGTGGCACAGGCTGCTCCCTCGGCAGTCCTGCTCTTCACCCTTTTCCAGGCTCAGGGAGCGTGGCCTTGTGGACCGCAGGCCGAGGATAGTCCCCTGCACCTAGTCCTCCTGCAGTGCTTCTGCAGTGATGGGCAGAGGGTATGCCGGAGAAGCTGTGTCCTCACGGATCTGCCTATCAGTTGGCAGAGTCCCAGCCTCAGCCTGGCGCTGAGCTTGGTTCTCAGGCTTTGGAATTGAAAGATGAGGTCTTCGTTGTAGTTTGTGGGAAGGTGTCTACAGTGTAACCAGAGTTGACCAGGTCAACTGCCTTGTCCTTGACCCTGGCACTTCACGTCACGGTCAGGTGGCCCTGTTACCATGTCATAATGGGGGCTATTAAAGCTTAGGGTCTCCTGTGGAGTCCTGAAACCAAACAGCAATGTGTTAGGTGCATCTGTGTGGCTGGCAGCTTAGAGAGCACGGCCCTGCCTTTGCCTCCACAGAATACTCCCGGTACCTTCACGCACACCTCGACACGCCCCTCACAGAGTACAGCGTAGACGTGGACCTGCCTGGCAGCTTCAAGGACCACTGGGCAAAGAGTCTGCCCTTCCTCATAGAAGACTACGAGGAGCAGCCAGGCCTGCAGCCCCACATAAAGTGAGTGCTGCCGGGGAACACGGTGCTCTTTGCCTTTCAGAGCCCAGCAGCAGTGCATCCTCACCCTTCTCCATCACCATATGGCTCCCTGTCCACTGCGTCCTTACCCTTCTTCATCACCACCTGATTCCTGTCCACTGCATCCTCACCCTTCTCCATCACCACGTGGCTCCCTGTCCACTGCATCCTCATCCTTCTCCATCACCACGTGGCTCCCTGTCCACTGCATCTTCATCCGTCTCCATCACCACGTGGCTCCCTGTCCACTGCATCCTCACCCTTCTCCGTCACCACCTGACTCCTGCCCACTGCATTCTCACCCTCCTCCATCAACACGTGGCTCCCTGTCCACTGTATCCTCATCCTTCTCCATCACTACATGGCTCCCTGACCACTGCATCTTCATCTGTCTCTATCACCACGTGGCTCCCTGTCCTCTGCATCCTCACCGTTCTCCATTACCACGTGGCTCCCTGTCCACTGTATCCTCACCGTTCTCCATCACCACGTGGCTCCCTGTCCACTGCATCCTCACCCTCCTCCATCACCACGTGGCTCCCTGTCCACTGCATCCTCACCCTCCTCCATCACCACGTGGCTCCCTGTCCACTGCATCCTCACCCTCCTCCATCACCACGTGGCTCCCTGTCCACTGCATCCTCACCCTTCTCCGTCACCACCTGACTCCTGTCCACTGCATCCTCATCCTTCTCCATCACTACATGGCTCCCTGTCCACTGCATCTTCATCCATCTCTATCACCACGTGGCTCCCTGTCCTCTGCATCCTCACTGTTCTCCATTACCACGTGGCTCCCTGTCCACTGCATCCTCATCCTTCTCATCACCACGTGGCTCCCTGTCCACTGCATCCTCATCCTTCTCCATCACCACGTGGCTCCTTGTCCATGTTCGCATTTGATTTCTTCCTGGAGCTCATAGGACTTCAGCTGTTTTCACACAGAGTACCTTGAGGCTGTTGATGGACATCTTTCCTTCCAACCTCACTTTCCCTGCTGCTTACACTTAGGCACTTTGACATGCTTGATTCTTTTACTGTGTTACTTTCATAAGAAATTATTTAACATTTCAAAAGTTTAAAGTTACATAGTAACAACTACTGCTGTAAAGTGGCAAAATGGAAATGTTAAAGGGCTCTCATTGCGAAACAGTTGGGTCTGGAATAGAATTGGATGCCTAAGAGTCTAACGATGCCTTAAGGGAGAGAATTACTAAAGTTGGACCCTTCCATTTTCTCAAGCCAGAGTGGAGGGTGAAAAGCACCTTTCTGAGGACAGTAGTGTCCTGGGGTGAATGCAGTGGAGTAACAGGGCCCCTGGGCACAGGAAGGCTGGGTTGCTGAGCACCGAGGGGCTGTAGCATCCTCGTTGGAGGCGTGGCCCAGGTCTTAACAGAAGCACGTGCAAATCCTTCCTTCCTGGTGGGAAAGCAGTACCACTTGGCCCCCAGGATCCCTGCACATCCACATCATTGGTATGAGAGCCAGGGGCCAAAGTCACCAGTGCCATATAAAGAAATGTACAGAACAATAGACCACAGCCTGAAACCTTGAGGCCTGGATATTGCAGTTGTTGAATGCAGATTGAAAATTACTCCAAGTGAAATGTTTAAGGAAATGGTGAAGAGAGAACAAGAGACTGTCACAAATAGATCTTAAATAAAAGTTTTAGGAATAGAAAATGTGATTGATGAAATAGGAATCCAACATACAAAGTAACAGCAGATCCACCGTGGTCTGCTCTTGAGGGATGGCTCACTCGTGTCTGCTGTGTAGGTTCTCACCAGGTAGTGATGTTTCTTCCAGAGACGTGCTGCATCAGAGTTTTGAGAGTTACAAGCCTGGAGTGCAGGAGCTGATCTGTGTGGCTGATCGTTTGGGATCACTGATGCAGTACGAAACGCCCGGCTTCCTGCCCAACAAGCGGATACACAGAGGTATTCTGGGAACTGGTTTGGAATGCCACTGTCTCAAGCATAAGAGCCTAGGGTCAGTCCACTTCCTGCTTTTTTTTTTAATATTTATTTTTTAGTTTTTAGATGGACACAATATCTTTATTTTATTTTTATGTGGTATTGAGGATCAAACCCAGTGCCTCATGCATGCTAGGCAAGCATGCTACCACTGAGCCACAACCCCAGCCCACTTCCTGCTTTTTAAAAAATATCCATAGTATGTGTTGAACTCACCCTTTATGCAATCCCCACAGAGACGCGTTGAGTCATTCAGGGGGAATTGTGAAAGAAACACCACTTCCTGCCCTCACAGACCCAGAACAGAGGTCCTCTCGGGTCCTCTCTGGGTCGGGCGGGTGGTCCAGGGGCACCGGTTTGGTTTGTTATAGTGTAGTGAGGAGTTCAGAGGATGGGAGCTTCCCCTGCTTTCCTGGGGGAGCTGGGAGGAGACCCCTTGGTCTTGGTTTAGGAAGACAGTGCCAGGCGCGTATGGTGCGTCCTGCTTTGTGGCCAGGACTTCTGAGTCTGGTGCCTGGTTGAAGAGGTGGTGCCCTGTCTCAGCCTTTCTCTCTTTTCGCAGCCATGGGCTTGGCGGCGCTGGAGGTCATGCAGGCTGTGCAGCGCACCTGGACCAACGGGAAGGTGCGCATGGGCGGGAGAACACGGCTGATGCAGTGGAGGGACATGTTCGACATTGCGGTGCGGTGGAGAAGGTAACCGGCCAGGGGGAGCAGGCCCTGGTCTCCTTGTGGGCAGGTGGCGCCTCTTCTGGCCCGCAGGTGTGAAGGCTGCTGTGCTTAGTAACGGTTGGCCTGTGCGTTAGGCTGCTCTCTGGAAAGGCCTCCAGAAATTGCTGGCCTCTTTTTTTCTGTGAAAAGCACCCAGCTTAGGTTGTGAAGCAGGAGCTGAGTGCTGCACGGCTCCAGACCTTTGTAAACGCCGCGTTCTTTCCCCAGTTCTGGAAGAGTCTGGAAGAGGCTCTGAGGAGCCATTTCTTACCTGTGGCTGCTTTGAATGGGTGGCAGGGCGGGTGCCTCTCTGGCCAGCCGGTATGGAGGGTCTTTGGTCCTCGTTTGCTCTGCTGGTAAACCTTTGTTGCTTCCTGCTTGACCCCCTGGGACCTCTGTTGGACTCTGCAGCTTGAGTCGCACTTTGGGACACCACAGCCTAGTGGTTCAAGGCCAGTGTGCTCTGTGTGCGTGTCTGCAAGTATCTGGGTTCCTGAGGTCTCAGCTGTCACAC